TGGATCAGTGAAGCCCACACTTTTGGCTTTGATTTGCTGAATATCCTTTACACAAGGTACATGTTTAGGTTTTTCAAAAGGTTTTATTAATTACAAAAATGTTCTTTAGATAAAGAGGTTCAGTTAGTTAGGTGGTCGGTCTGATTGATGACAAAGAAACAAAACAATTTTTTGTGGATTTTAGTAGGGAGACAGAGCCATATACTAGCATAGCTAAAATACACTGGATATAACATTAAAATGGTATACTCTTACCTGGTTACAACAACATAGATGAATTAGAAATTATTTGTTAAAAAAATGCATTAGAGAAATAACAACCCTTCTCTAATTGTTTTTTTTTTGGTTTGTTTAAGGCTTCTCAGGTGAGCGAGGAGGTGAATGTATGGGTTGAAAAGCAAACAAATGGTCTCATTACTAAGATTCTTTCACCAAATTATGTTCCGGCTTTGACTGATGTCATCTTTGCAAATGCGCTATACTTCAATGGAAGATGGCAAGACAAATTCGATGCATCGCTAACCAAAGAAGACTACTTTCACCGTCTTGATGGATCCATGGTTCGTGTTTCCTTCATGACCAATGAAGAGGACTTATGGATGTGGAGGATTTATGTTTTTGATGGCTTTAAACAACTTAAGCTCCATTACCAATCAGGAACGGATCGCGATGATCATCGGTATTTCTCCATGGAAATCTATCTTCCTGATGAAAAAGATGGATTGGATGCTATGTTAGAGAGTTTAGATTCTGATCCTGGAATCTTGAGTGGCGATACGTCAGGCGACTGGTCGAGTATTGGTAAACTCAAGGTTCCAAAGTTTAGTTTCTCTACTGATTTTGAAGTCACGGAAGCTCTGAAAGGCTTGGGGTTAGAGTTGACAGCGCAGAAGATTTTTCATAAGTCTCGCGTAGAGGTGGACGAAGAGGGAACAACAGCAGTAGCAGCAACTGTTGTTGGAGGAATCGGGGGATGTGGACCCGCTAAAAGTAAGCATGATTTTGTGGCTGATCATCCGTTTCTATTCCTAGTCAAAGAAAACATGAGCGGACTTGTTTTGTTCCTTGGTCAGGTCCTTGATCCTTCCATTACTAATTGATATCATAAAAGTTCTCCTTCTTTGTTTCTTTATTTCTTGTCTCTTAAATTCTTGTATACCGTGCATCTAAATAAGATGTTTGTCAGATGGCCGCATTGAAATACACAAATTCAAGATTAGTTTAAAGAAAAATGAAGTTGTTGTTGCATATTTTCAATCTGTCATGATTCTCTTTGTTTATGTCATTCTAGATTTTTTAAATGAAATGTTACGATATCGTTATTATGAAAGAGGTTGTGGGTGAGGAGAAGATGAACCAAAACATAATGGAAAGAGAATAAACTCATGTTTGATTGGAGATCGCACACGCGTTGCTCCTTTTGGTTTGAAGTCTAGATTGAATTACAACTTATCATTAAATCAAATTTGAAATTCCATTAAGAAGAGTTAGACGAGAAAGTTGTTGATTGTCCATGCAAAAGAGAAAACTACTATGAGTGACACGAAGAAGAAGAACAAAGAAACTACAAAGGAAACAAAGGTGTATGCTTAAAGAAGAAGAGACGAGTCGTCAAAGAGAAAGAAGAGAGAAGAAGAAATTCAAGACGTGTTGTGTTTTGTCGTGAGACTAGTTACAAGAAGAGTGATAGGCTGGAGTTAAAGCCCACTTAAGAGTTATGTTTTTGTGTTCCTTGGGTCTAAGTGGTGTTTAGGCCCAAATATGTGGTTATGTTATTTACGTAGTTCGACTAAGGAAATTGTTATGAACCTTATTTTGACTATAGTACTTCAAGAGTTGTTAGAGTCGTTTGAGTGGTTGCTTGTGTAAGTGAACCTAGTATGTAGAGATCAGATGAGAGAGTAAGGTTAAGTGAGTAGCTAGTAGAAGAAATCTCTATATGTAATGTGTAAAAGTGTAATGGTTATGCAAGTATGAATGTTTAAGAGAGAAAAATCGTTTTATGGTTGAACAAAAGAGAGAAACATATACAAACCTAAGATCTAATGTTGAACAAAAAAAAAGTTGTGCGATTGAAGCTGAAAATGGACCAGAAAATTATTATACGAAAGGGGAAGAAGTGTGAGACGAGAAAGGTTTCCTAAAGAAAAAACAATCTCTCCATAGAGACTGCAATTTCTAAGGGTTAGGTTAAAAAGATGTTGAAGTTTGAAAAGACCGCTCTTTGGTTCTAGAGAGTTGTTAAGAGAAATGGAATCAAGAAGAAGTGAAATTACCCCGCCATATTAATTTGCATCAATGATGGCTCCCTCCAAAGAACAGCAGCCACCGCTCTTGTTCCTTGAACTTACCGGAAACTCGTGTTTGAACACCAAAATGGCATCTCTCTGGTCATGGCGGCAATAGTGAAGGGTAGGAGAAGCTAAAGTGTGTAGATATATAAGGTAACAACACCAGAAAGAAAGAAAAAAACCAATAAGATTGGCTTGGAATCATCATTACCCTTTCTTTTCTTTTGAGTTTGTGTGGTAATTAATATGTTATGCTGATTCAATCAGCCTGATTGGCTTCTACGGTTCTCGTTAAAAAAGACAAACAAGAAAACTCAGTTTTTTTTCTACTTTGGCAAGTCTTACGTCAACTCGTTGGATTCAGTTGATTATGAAATCTTCCAATGCTCTCTTTGACCAATGGTAACTTTTCAAAATTACCATAATATATCAAAGCTTAAGAAAGGTTTTCACTCTTTTTTGACTTTCCCTTCTTTTCACAGTTTCACTTCAAACATAAAAATATCAGAGTCCCAATTGCTTCCAAAATTCTTTAAAAACTTCAAGTGTTCCTAACTTTAGGTGCCAATGCCATGAATTATTCATATTGCCCGGCGGTAGCACATGTGCCAGGAGTGCTAGAGCACATGGTCCAAGGGTCTAAATATTTTTTAAGAAATAGATGGAGTATTAAACATCCCTCTTATTAAATAATGAGAATCATGCATCAATACAATAAAAACAATAAGAGTCTCTCCAGACTTGACACCTCAGCTTTTTGGACAGTTCTCAGCTTGACACATCATTAAAATTGTCGGCCAATGAAAACATTTTGATTAATACAGCTCACATTTCTCAGCCAGTAATAATTTTCTATTTTTCCACGTCACTCTTTCTCCATCACTAGAACAAATATAAAAATAAACATAGGCCTAGGCCCAACCAAAGTAATAGCCCAACATCTTATGCAAAGCTTAATTAGCTTTTCATGTTCAAATCCAAAGATTGGATCTCCAAATTACGGGGAAAAGTTAGTATTCAATTTGAGTATATAAACATATGTCTAGGCCCAACCAAAATAATAGCCCAACATCTTATGCAAAACTCTAATTGTATCTACTCAACGTTGCGTCTCTCGGCTCGTTGGCTTCGACTTGCAAAACACTTAAGAGCTGTGTCACTCGTTTCCTCATCTTCACTCCCAACTTCCACATCTTCGTAAGTCTCCACATTTCTCAAGGGTTTCATTTGGATTTAGATTTCAGACTGAAGTTGTACAAAAAGTTTTGTCTTATTTGATCTCTGTTGTTGTGGTTTTTGGATTTAAGAATGTTTCATTGTCAATGGAAACTGTTAGGCCATTGTTGTTTCCGAATTAACAATTTTCAAGTCTCAATCTTTATATCAGCCAATTCGAAATTCGAAAGGAGAGATTTCTTAAACGAGGAAGAGAGAGATATAGAGCTGCTCACTATGGCGAATGGTGAAGATGAATCAATTTATCATCGCCGAATTCATAGATTTAAGGACAAAGTGACAGACAATCCATTCACCATCTGATTTTTAGAAACATTGATTTGAGTAAGACACTCTTAATTCTACCCTTCAATGTTAATATAGCAAAAAAAAATTATATTTTCGTCGAATCTATAGGCTTTTCTGCTGAAATTGATCCAGCGAGTTCTTGAATTTGGAGTCTGGAGCTGATATTGATGGATAAGAAACTGGAGTTGGTGAAAGTTCAGAAGCTTGAATGTCTGATCGTGTTTAGAGCATCGCCTGGATTCCCGCCGCCGACGGTGTTCTTGCTTTTGCAGTGGCGATAAAATCATACGGATCTGGGAACAGACCTCCAAAACTAAAGATCTCCAAAATCAACACTTTCAACATCCAAAAGCGATAAATTGCAGATGTTTTCGTCAAAGAATGACCAAGAAATTGGATCTCAGGAAAAAAATGTTTCAATAAGTGATATAAGAAAAAACATAGAAAAAACAAACTTTGTTTTCTTAAAGCTTTTCCGTTTTGGACGAAATTAGTGCTGTTTCTAAAGCCTTTGCTTTTATTGATTATTAAACCGGGAGTTAAACTAACTAAACCAAAAGAATTAAGTTTATTTAATGCCAAACCAATAACGTAATAACTTGGTCGTCTTTTGGATTGTCGGTTTGGCGAAGTGGTGCTTTTGTTTATTAGTGTGGAATCATAACGTTTACTGTGATTTTGAGATTGTAAAATTTGACATGGGCCGGATTAGTTCTTGAACCAAGATCCACAGATTTCTTATATAAATTGCTGCTTATATATTCATATAGAGACTACACTTTTGTTTGAATCATTATTGATGAGAATTAATATTATACAATAGTTTTTATGAAACAAAGTTATAAAATAATATTAATATGTAAATTCAGCTAATATTCGATGTTTAAAGTACGTATATATATAACAAACTTACAGTAAAAAAAATATCCCGCAGCGGAGCGCGGGTTTCGCCCTAGTTTTATTTAACAAATGCAAATAGAGTATATAGAAGTCGTGAGACTTCGTGACGCCATCTCTTCTTCGTCATCTCCTTGACACTTCGTGACGTTCTTGTCTTCTCGATAAAAGTGTCTCGGAAATCGAAGAGTGGTTTCGTGTTTTTACTTACTTTTTGCACACAGGAAAATGCAAGTGGTTTCCATTATTTATCTATATAAATGATACCATTCTTTCTTCTTTCTTGAAGACAAAAGAGGAATAACCATGGGTGAAGCCGTTAAGGTAATAGAAACTCTTCCTTCTGATTTCCATTTTGGTGTGTTTTTGCTTAGCATCAGATTTGATGTTTTCTAGTTTCACATGTGTGTGTGTATCTTTTTCAGGATCAAAGAGAAGAAGCGATTCAAGCTTGGTACTTGGATGATAATGAAGAGGATCAGAAACTTCCTCACCACAAGGATCCTAAGGAGTTTGTATCTTTGGACAAACTTGCAGGTCTGTGTGTGTCTTCATTGTGCATGTATTTATTTTTTCCACGTACAGTAATAATTTTTTTTGTGTGTGTGTAGAGCTTGGAGTACTTAGCTGGAAACTTGACGTTGATAATTATGAAACCGATGAGGAGTTGAAAAAGATCCGCGAATCTCGTGGTTACTCCTACATGGTTTGTTACCTTTATTTGATGGCTTTTTTATATCTTCCTTTCATCCTTTGTTTTTTTTTTAATGAAGATAGATCTTCGCTTGTCACTTGATTATTAGATGTTTATATTCGATTCTCAAACATTTTTATGTTTGGTTTCAGGACATTTGTGAAGTGTGTCCAAAAAAGCTTCCAAATTATGAAGCAACAGTAAAGATGTTTTTTGTAGAACATTTACACATTGATGAAGAGATTCGTTACTGCCTCGCAGGAAGTGGTCGGTACTATTATTCGCTGTTTTACTTAAATAAATTCGATATAGTCCTCATGTTGTTTTTTTCTTCGAACAAATTGAAGGATACTTTGACGTGAGGGATCTCAATGATGTTTGGATTAGAGTATGGGTAAAGAAGGGAGGTATGATAGTCTTCCCTGCTGGAATATATCATCGCTTCACCGTGGACTCAGACAACTATATGAAGGTTCAATCTTAGCTTCATCTAGTTATTAATTTATCATATATTTTTTGGTAATTGCTTACAAAATTTAAATTTCTTACTGAATAGGCAATGCGGCTTTTCGTGGGGGGACCAGTGTGGACTGCTTACAATCGCCCACATGACCATCTTCCTGCAAGGTACTAGATCTGCAATTGAATATCCAAGCAAAGATGCGACAAAATTGTTTTATGTATATTAATTGAAACGGCTATTTTATAGGAAAGCGTATGTGGATAAATTCGTGAAGGTGATTAGGGACCGTACCATAAACGCTTCAGCGTAGAGGGACTCTCAGGCATCAGATTTCTATAAGCTAAACATATGTTTAGATGTTGTCTTTATGCTTTATGATGTTTACCACTAAAACCGAAGACACTTTGGTTCGTGTGTCTTTGGCATTATTGTTGTGTTGTTGTAATGTTACCATCTTCATGTCTAAGATGTTCGGTAATATTTGGAAGGAAATGGAAATGTTCGTGTTGACAAAATACATGAAAGTCAAATTAAGTAAGACCATCTAACACAACGTAGGATCTATAATACATGAAACCTTGTTGTGTTAAAATCTTTTCCAATTCCCATCCATTTTTTACATTAAACTGGAGAAATAAACAAGATAATTTTTGAGATATACACTTTTTGGTATTCTTCTTTTCAAAATGCCCCTTGAGTTGTCTATTTCAAAAATGAATCTCTTTAAATCTGAAAAGATTATAAAGGTCAATAAGGTTTACAAGATATTTCTGAGACTCGATATTACTACTCAGGAGACTCGATCCAAATATTTATAAAGTCTTATACGGTATTTTCTAAAGTTTTACAAGATATTTATAAAGTTTTACACAAATATAAATGTAGTTTGTATAAGTTTTTATAAGGTTATTACACATGTATTTAAGTAGATCTCAGATTTTTAGAAGATTTTTGATAAAGTTTTAAGTACGCAGGTTTTATAAAAAGTGGTAATAGAAAAGGGGTATTTTTGAAATTCTCTTACTCCATATTGAACATTTTATTGATCATCCTTCGGTTTTGCTCCATCAAATGTTATATCTTATTATTGGGTACTTAAAACAAAATTATTTATTAGTATTTTATACTTCAAAAAGTCTGTTATTTTTGATTTTATCAAAACTTGAACTACCCGAGACCCAAACCCATCTCTACACCATTTTTAATTTTGGTTAAATTTAATTAATCTTTGTAATTCGGAAAAAAAAATAAACAAACCAAACTCCAAAGCCTAGTTTAAGTGTTGGTGACTTGGTTCCAAGTTCGAACGAAGTCCATCATACGACTTTCCCACCAGCGGTACTTTAATTACTTTTAAAGGGTTTAAATCATTTTCGATTGAAAAATTCATTAGTCATCGCATAAAATAATCATTCTCGATTATATAATTCATTTGTAGTCAATTGCAGAAAATAAATTTAAAACAAAACTTCAAGTAGTATATATACTTGAAACAAGCTATTCCATCAATCATCACATCTGCATATTCAGAACCATTCTTCCCCACCTCTTCTTCGAAAAAAAATATGGAGTTAGGAAAATCAATTGAGAACCAAAACAACGTCGTGGTAAAACTAGCAAAGAAAGTCATTGATACCATGGCCAATGGCTCCAATGTTGTCTTTTCACCGATGTCAATCAACGTTTTGCTTAGCCTCATCGCCGCTGGTTCCAATTCTGTCACCAAAGAAGAAATCCTCTCATTCCTCATGTCACCGTCTACGGATCACCTTAACGCGGTCTTGGCCAAGATGACAGACGGCGGCACCGAGAGAAGTGATTTGTGCTTATCTACGGCTAACGGTGTATGGATTGACAAGTCTGTTTCTTTGCAATCTTCCTTTAAAGAGCTTTTGGAGAAATCCTACAAGGCTACTTATAGTCAAGTTGACTTTGCAGCCAAGGTAACTTTTTGTTGTTATCCATAAATTTTGCTTTATTTTTATTTTTTTCTTTTAATAACCGGGGTATATTATTCTCGTCATTTAAGAAGTTTCATGTTGTTTTATTTTTTCAATTTCTTGAGTATTTATTACATCAAATTTCATTAATGATTGGTAAATTTTTATCGTTTTGTCCTGAAGCCTGTTGAAGTGATTGATGAGGTGAATACATGGGCTGATATCCACACCAACGGACTCATCAAGGAGATTCTTTCACGCAAATCTATGGATACTATCGCGGTAATCCGTTGTAGCACACTTATTCTAGCCAATGCAATATACTTCAAAGCAGCATGGAGCAGAAAATTTGATGCAAATTTGACAAAAGATAACGATTTTCATCTCCTTGATGGTAAGACGGTGAAAGTCCCCTTCATGACTGATTACAAGAAGCAATATCTAAGCGACTATGATGGTTTCCAAGTTTTGCGCCTTCCTTATGTAGAGGATCAACGTCAATTCTCAATGTACATTTATCTTCCTAGTGACAAAGACGGATTAGTAGCTCTGCTTGAGAAAATAAGCTCTGAACCAGGATTTCTCGATAGCCATATTCCACAACACCGGACATCAGTAGATGCTTTCAGAATTCCGAAGTTTAAATTCTCTTTTGACTTTAAAGCTTCAGATGTTTTGATAGATATGGGGCTTACTTCTCCCTTTTCTTCTGGAGGTAATTCAACTGAGATGGTTGATTCGTCTGCTCTTAGTGTCTCAAGCATTATTCATAAAGCTTGCATTGAGGTGGATGAAGAGGGAACCGAAGCTGCAGCCGTCTCTGTTGCCATCATGGTGCCCCAATGTTTAATGCGGAACCCGGATTTCATAGCTGACCATCCATTTCTGTTCACGGTGAGGGAAGACAAGAGTGGAGTGATATTGTTCATGGGTCAAGTTCTTGATCCTTCTAAACATTGATTGAACTCTGTCGTTTGATGAGCTGACTATGTCTCTTTCTCATTTTGCGGTTTGCCTAATAATAACAGAGCGTTGTTCGGATTCCGATTATGTTTGGAGAAAACATGTTTGTGTATTTCTGGTTTGATGAAACTGAGTTTGCTTTTTCTTTTTTATTGCTTTTTCTTTTTTTTTTATTGTTTTGTGTGAGAACTAATACTGATTCTTGTCTAGAAAGATGAAAGATTTATATCTGTTAAATCTTATTAAGAACATTGCTATAAGATAATATTGTAAATCAGACTCGATTTAACACCAATTTGCTTTCTTCGATTGTTGCGATTACGAGCAAAGTAAAACCAGAAATTAAGGACATGAGACATTTACGAGTTCCCTCTGTTGCAAACCGCAACTTTGAGGTACCCGTACCTCTCGATGAGGTATTGCTCCTCACAAGCCGAATCCACTATCCAATGTTTCAAGAGATTACTCTCTCTCACTTCTCTCTCTCTAACTCTCACACCAACTCTCTCTATCCAATGATCCAATGTTCTTCAATGGAAATCTCTCACACCAACTCTCTCTATCTAAGAACACGAAGAAGAAGAAGATAAAGAACAAGAAGAAACTTGAGAATTATTACTCTCTCTCACTTCTCTCTCTCTAACTCTCACCAAGAAACCCAGAATTGAGAATAATAATGTCTCTCAGATTACACTCACCTCTCGACTCTAATACCAGAGGAAACTAAGACGGTGAGCTGAAACTAACAAACGTTCACACGTATTAACCCACACATGTGACTTCTCCTTTATTTCCTTTGAGAGTCTCTTCTTGAACTAGAAGCTTTTACTTGAACATGTCAGTCCAAACACTCTAGTTGCTGTAGAGTCTTTACCACACTTCCTTGTTTCTTCTTCTTCTCTTTCATACGCTTGAACAAACACTCAGCTTCTACGTGTTTCCTCCAAGATGATTGATGATTTAAAGGAGTCTCAAGGTCACATGTACCACATTTTTCAAATTCCTTAGCATCTCTACCACAATGGAGAATGGTTTAGCACTTGTACCACTTGTTTATGGTATTGTGGTAGACGATGGACGATTTTCCCCTGATGACTCTGCAGAAAGAGAGAAAATTAATGCACTGTGCGTCAGAAAAAAGTATAGTATGTTGAAAAAGAGGAACAACCACATTAAATGGTGACAATGATTATTTGACATTAAAATATAATACAAAGCATTAATTACTAGGTCAAGGCAAGTAATTAATTGATGAAAACGTTTGGGCAGATGATATGGGGTAAATTCGGGGACAACTGGATCGGGGACAACTGGATCTCTTGATTGTCCATCGCAAGATGATGTGGTTTTACCAGCCAGAGATCTGGATTTACTCGGGGACAACTTGATCTTTATTTTATTCCGCCAGAGAGCCGAAGACGAAGATCTGGATTTACTCAGGGACAACTTGATCTTTATTTTATTCCGCTAGAGAGCCGAAGACGAAGATCTGGATTTACTCGGGGGCAACATTGTTTTACCTGCTGTGGATGTAGGATTCACACTCAATTGTCTTTAAGTATTTCAGTGGAGAAAACTCTTGTAAAATCAGCAAATGAATATGAGAATTCGAAAGGGAAGTTAACCAAGAAAAGAAAGTAAAGAAATCTGATAAGAACGAAGTACAAAAAGCCTTGCGAAAATAATAAAGAGAGAAAGTATGTTGTATTGCTTGGAAGTAGTGTGCAAAAAAGATTCGCCCCTCAAACACATGCGTTTGAGGTTGTTTTTATAGAGAAAATACGATTAATGCGGCTATTTACTACTCGTAATCATATTGATCCGCATTAATCATATAAGTTACAATTTGACCGAAACGGCTTGAATTTGAACTGTCTTGGGCTTAACATGGGCTTTCCGAACTCTTTCTTGCTGACTCCGAACTCCCGTGCTTTGATGCTACTGCGAGCCTCGAACAATATTCTCCTCGCTTCGGCCTTTCTTTATGTGAACAGTATATCGAATAAGAGCGAACTCCATACTGGCAAAGATCGAACCCTTCTAGTGGACTTGTATCGAACTCCCGACTGTTCAAGTTCAATACTTATAACAAAATATCTTAAACTCTAAGAGGATTATTGTGTAATAATGATGTGGACAGATCCAAGTGGAACCTACCGAAAATGTGTGGGATCCGACCCCAACATTTAGCCCTCCAAGTCTTGCGAGCTGAGTGCTCGGCTTGGAAGACTTAAGTAAATAGTAATTAATGAATCGAGATCTTTGTCATCTTGCAATTTTCCATGTTTTACGCTGTTACGCCGATTTCGGAAAATTAGATGATTTGATTTCCCTGACAACCGTCATCATTAATTTCTTAATTTTATATTAATACTGCGGGGAAAACTGTCCCGCTTCCCAATATTTTCGAGGCGGTTTTCTGCTAAATAGGGTTAAATGAAACGACGACTTTTAAAGCGTACATTCACCCCTGAAAGCTTTTACCAAACCAGAAAAAGAAAATCTTGTAGTAAAAATGTCTTCCCCAGCCGTTTACGTCTCAAACAACGAGGATGACAGTCAGGGAATCCCCGTTTCCAGCGGGAACGAAGTCTGCACCCAAAGGGGAGATAAATTCGGTCCGCATTTTA